GGAATATCTCCTTTAAATCATAGTACTTCCATTGTTTCCTAGATTCATTTCATGCCATTGACCCTTTCCACAAAACCAATGTATTGGGATTCTTAAAGACCCATCATCTGCCTAAAGGCATATTTTCTTACATTACATAATTTTTATTACACAATCCCGAATGTTATACATTTCTTTCTTTTTTAAAGCATTTGATAGGCATTTTCATTGAAGCGAATAATCTCAATGTCTCCCCTTCAATTTCAAGAGGACACAAAAGAGACTTTGTTGTGCATGATAAAATGAAAATCAATAAAATTTAAATCTCTTCACAAAATCTAACCTTCCCCCACCCTTTTCAGGTTCACAAAAAAAAAGGCCAACCAAAAATATACTCTTAGCTATTGTCAACATGTTTACATATGTGCGTGAACAAGCCCACCTCACTCCTTCCCATTTACCTATGTGAACCATTAACCTTTTACATCGATGCGTACATACATGGTACACACATACATACATAGCTTATGGTTCGTTGAGTTTTCCCATTTTGCAAAAAAAAAGAAGTATATTTTCGGGGAGGACAAACATTTGACGAATTGTTTCAACCCAACTACCGCTTCACGTATTTGAATGTCAATGGCGTTTTCGGTTAAGGCTGCGAATCCTTGCTGAATGACAACAAGCCCATCATCCATCCAGCCACCCAACCGTACCGCAAACTCCCTACGTTACTCACAAAAGCCATAAAATTCTAATGACAATATCATCGACAGGCCTGGTGGGGAGAACGTTTCTTGCGACCACAAGGTGGTACGTGCAAAATTTCGTGAGTTTCTTCTCTCTACCCTTTCGAAATTTTACAAAGTTACGCACACACCCACACACACTAAACCTCATGCGTGTTACTGAACCCATACTTTTTGCCAACTCACAAACACACACAGACACACGCGATGTTGTTGCATTGATAAGTTTCAAATATTCAATGTCAGTGAATATTTAAACCTTAAAGCTGGGTATTTTGCACTAATGGCTGAGAGAGAAATAATTGAGCATTACGGGAAAGAATGCAAAAGCAATCCGAAAACGATTTCGAAAAGATTTACTCGGATATTGGCTTAAACTTATAGGATGAAATGAAATAAAAAACAATATTTGGAATTGGGAAAAAAAGTTTCTGTCAACACAAGGAAAATTTGCGTGGAAAAAGTATCAATATCTTGTAGTTTAAACATTTCAAAGTCTAATTATTTAAATTGCGAAATAACTATGGAAAATCGGAGAGGAACTTCTATGGAGGGTAACGACGTTAGAGTAAAAACGAATAAAGATAGGAAGCTAAAATTGTGCACAGGACATTCTAACATGCACTCTAAACCTTCTTCTACAATTAGACAAGAAAACAAGTATAAGTCGGTTAAGCCGAAAGATGTATAAACGCAGCCATTATTCGATTACTTATGAAGTAGGTTCCAAAGGAATGGACCAATATTGTCCATTTCGTATCGGACCTACATAAATATGATATAAATATTGCGACATGTGATAATTTTTAGAAAATGTTAAGATATGTGTCAGGTACCAGATATAATCGAACGAAATATTCCATTTTCATACTTCATCTAATACAGATAAAAATATTAGTATGGGCAGAATTATAAAAAAACGAACATGCTTATGCCTTCAATGTTATGCGAAATAATTTGTATTTGTGAAAATTGGAATGAGTTGAATGCTTATTTCGCTTCCTTGAGCGTTTTGTTTTTCAAAATCTGGAACCCTATGTAGGGGAGGTACCAGAAAAATTGTCCGATATCAACCATCTTTATTACAGATCTTGTGTTGATAAAAACATTGAGATTTGCCAAGTCTGAATGAAATCGGATATTAATTTCGCATTTTATGAGTGTCATGGATTTTCAAAATTTTGACCCTTTGTGGGGGAAGTTCCAGAAGACTTGGACCGATATAGTCCATCTACACAGCACATCTTGTTAAAGTAGAAATAATGGGAAGTGTGAAATATAAAGAGAACCGGATGCTTATTATTAAAATTATTTTGGTTATTCAATACTTTAACCCTTTGTGGGGGACCTACCAGAAACAATGACCCGATCTCTACCCTCTTTATAACATAACTTGTGTTGATAGAAATATTGAGATGTGCCAAGTCTAAATAGAATCGGATGTTTATTTCGCGATTTATGAGCTTCATGGGTATTCACAATTTTGACCCTTTTTAGGGGAGGTACCAGAAGGAGTGTATCGATACGTCCGCCCGTCTGTCTGTCCGTCCGTCTGTCCATGTATTTTTGTAAGCAAAGTACAGTTCGCATTTATTGCCCTACCCAGATGAAATTTTGCACAAATCATTTGTTTGGCCCAAGGACGAACTCTATTGAAATTGGAGATAATCTGTCAAAATTTAGATATAGCTCCCATATATATCTTCGTCCGATTTGCTTTTTATTGTGCACCAAAAGTGTAATATTAGCCCGAATAGTATGGAATTTTGCACATACAACCAAATTAGGCCTGAAAATTAGTATGCCAAATTTGATCGAAATCGGTTCAGATATATCTATAGCTTCCATATATATATTTATTGTTCATCCGATTTGTTACTTTTGTCCTCCGCAGCCGTAATATGTACTCTGTTACAGCAATATTTGGGGAAATATATCAAATTCAGCTCAAAAATACCTTTGCTATGTTTTATCGAGATCAGTTCAGATTTGGATATAGCTGCCATATATAACTTCATCCGATTTACCTTTTATTGTACACCAAACGTTTAATATTTGCCCAAAATGGGATGGAATTTTGCACATGCGACCGAATTAAGTCTAGAAGCTAGTATGCCAAATTTGGTGAAGATCGATTCAGATATAGCTATAGCTCCCATATATATTGTTCATCCGATTTATTGTATTTGTTACAAACAGCCGTAATATGCACTCCGTAACAACGATATTCAGGGAAATATATCAAATACAGCTCAGAAATATCTTTTATCGAGATCGGTTCAGATTTGGATATAGCTCCCATATATATATCTTTATCTGATTTCAAATAAATTTTGCACCAAATGGGTAATACAAGTCCGAATTTAAAAGTTACAAATGTTTCGGCATATTTAGTCCTTTGAACTTTAAATTATAATTATAATCATAGCGTGTATGATTGAATTCTCCCATAAAAACTTTTAATTGTTATATGGAGCTCTACAAAATTAGCAAAGTGGTGTAGGGTATCATAAAGTCGGCCCCGGCCAACTTTAGGACTTTCTTTACTGGTTTTAAATTAAACAAGTAAAAAAACATTAAGTTCGGCCGGGCCGAACTTTTATACCCTCCACCTTAAGGCAAAGGAAACATTTTTACATAAAAGTGTCAAGAATTCAAGCGTGTTTCACTTTAAACCTCATATATCACTAAGACCTTTTGCATAATGCAGTTAAGGTTATTAAAAAACCGTAGAGTAACACCGTTATATGGTTAAAAAATGTGTAAAAATCATCAAAACGCCGGATCTCGGGAGGTACCGGTATATGGAGGCTATACCGAAATGTGGTCCTATAGAAACAATGTTTCGCCATACGAGCTAGAACCCATTATGACTCACAAATACCAATTTTTAGATAAATTCGAGGGAAAACGTGAGAAAAATTATTAAAATACCGAATATCGGGAGGTACTTATATATGGGGCTATACAGAAACGTGGTCCTATGCATACAGTGTTTCGCCACCATCATGGCAACAAATTCCAATTTTTAGACAAATCCGTGAAAAAATGTGGCAACAATTATCAAAATACTGAATATCGGGAGTTACCCTTATATGGGGGCTATACCAAAACGTGGACCCATACATACAATGTTTCGCCACACGAGCTTGAACCCATTGTACCCTACAAATACAATATTTTGAAAAAAATGTTGCAAAAATAAATAAAATATCGAATATCGGGAGGTACCGTTATATGGGGCCTTTGCCAAAACGTAGACCTATAAATACAATGTTCCGCCACACAAGCTAGAACGCATTGTAACTTACAAAAACCTCCTCTTTAGACAAATCCGTGAAAAATATTGCAAAAATCATCAAACTACCGAATATCGAGAGGTACCGTTATATTGCGGCTATTAAAAAATCTGTGAAAAAATGTGGCAAAAATCATACCCAAGATATCGAATATCGGGAGGTACCGTTATATGGGGACCATACCAAAACGAGGACGGATATATCTCCTTTTCAATACCAACCATCCTAGACACAACACAAATTGTTCTGTTACATTTTGACGCTCTACGTCAAAAAATGTGAGCTTTATCGTGATTTCAACAGACAGACAGACAGAGAGACGGACATCGTTAAATCAACTTAGAGTTTTATTCTGACAATGATAATATACCCTCCTTTCCAAGGCGGAGGGTATAAAAATTGGCGGTTTTATTGAATATTATTCGAAGAACTAATATTATTTACCTTTTTTATAGTGGGTGTTGATCGATGAAAATCCGAATAGCAAGTAAGGAAAGAGTAGCGAGCAAGCATGGATGTCACAAGAGATGTCACAAGATACCTATTGATCGATTATAGATACAGTCCTCAAATTTGGAATGTGTAACAGAATTTGGTACAAAAATGAATTTACCAAATTATACTGAAATCGGTAGAAGTTTGGATATAGTTCCCATATATATTTTCGGTCGATTTCATATATCTGATGCACCAAACACGATATGTATGTATGATTTCAATAAAATTCGGAATTAGGTACAAAAATAAATTTGTAAAATTATATATTTTAATTGGTTCAGAATTGGATATAGCTCCTATATATATTTTCGGCCGATTTTACATATTTTACATGTCTGATTTTAATAAAATTCAAAATGAGTGATGGAATTTGGTACAATAATAAATGTGTCAAATAATATTGAAATCCCATAATATTTCCACATATATTTTCTTCTGGTTTTTCGTTTGGCTTGAGGTCAGAATTTAAAAAAACATTTTAATTTATTTTTCCGATATTTCGACTATCTTCGATAGTCATCATCAGGGATTTGACTTAAAAAAAAGAACAATTAACATTTAGTATAAATAAATAAATCAAGACACTTTAACGACAATTACATTGGATTTTATCTCTTCTGTTTTTAAGTTCTCTGATGCAGCTTTTCCATCCTTTCCTTTTTACTCGAATTTTCCAACTAATTTGTAGTTATTTTCTTGTGCCAAAATGTCGACATCTTTGACATGTCCTTCTTGTTGGCAATGGGCAACAAGGGCAGTTTTTTGCTCTATGGCTTTAGTATTTGGCTTTTGGTCCGATTTATGAGAGCTAATACGAGATTTTGTTGTCCTAACATATGTCTTCTGACATACGTTGAACCCGTCCCCATTACATTTAATCTTATAAACGACGTTAGATTTGTCCTCGTGTGGAATTTTCGGCTGATTTCGTATATTGATTCACCAAATACACTATGATCTCCAACTTCAATGACATATGGAATGTGTGAAGAAATTTTGAACAAAAATAAATTTTGTCAAATTATATTGAAATCGGTTCAGGTTGCGATATGATTTTTTTAACAAACATTGACCAACAACGCCTTTGCAATAGTATTAGGCTAACAGTAAAAAAACTATGCAACAATTTAATTGAGTATACGCTGCCTCGTATTCTCTTATAACTTCAAAAGATCGCAAATTCCTGCACGCTTGGCATTTGCTATGAAATTAATAAATGCATGTCTGTTTGTCCGCAGGTGGCATTTAATATCCGATTGAGGTGAAATTTTTCAAACAATATTTGCTTGGCCCAAGGGCGAACATTATTAAAATTGATGATAATCGGATCAGATTTAGATAGAGCTCCCAAATATATTCAACCGATTTCGGGTTACTCGTGCGCCAAACTGCCAATATAAGTCCAAATGACCTGTATTTTGGTAAACGCCACCGAATTCAGTCTAGAATCAAGTAAATCAAATTTGGAGAAAATCAGTTCAGATATAGCTACCATATATATCTAATTTGGGGTTTTAAGTCCCTTATATGAGTATTATGCACTCCAGAGCAATGATATTTAGCACCGGACATCAAATACTTCTCGAAAATACCTCTGTCAATTTTTATCGAGATCGGTTTAGATTTGGATATAGCTCCCATATATATATTCAACCGATTTCGGGTTAATTGTGCACCAAATAGCCAATAGCAGTCCTAATGACCTGAATTTTGGTACATCCGACCGAATTCAGTCTAGAAGCAAGTACAAGGAACAGATATGGCTATAGCTTCCATATATATGTTTCATCCGATTTGGTGGTTAGTTCCCCCATATTCGTAATATGCATTCGACAACAATGATATTTGGTACAAGATATCTTATAGGGCTCAGAAATACTTTTGCCAAATTTTATAGAGAACGGCTAAGATTTAGATTCAGCTGCCAAATATATCTTCAACCGAATTCAGTTTTATTGTGCAAATAATGGCTATATCAGCCAGTTTTTTTTATTTTTTAATAATCCTTCTCAAAGTGATATCATTCGCTCTATAGCAATGTTTTTTGATATAAAAAAAATTAAAATGCCTCCGTCAAATTTAGTGAAAATCGATTCAGAATTGGATATACCTCCCATATATTAGATCCCTCTGAAACCAAACTATAACTGCTCTAAAGCCAAATGTTGATAGGTTATATGATCTACTTCAAATAAATTCTTTGTTACGAGAGCTCTACTAAATATACATAATGGTGTAAGGCCTCGCCCGACTTTTGACTTTTCCTTACTGGTTTAATTCTTACTTTTATGTCACGAAAACAGGTAAGAGATAATGTTGAAAATTGTGCTCGGATTTGCTCATATTTGTGTAGGAGCGTGAAATGGAACAGGGTTTTCAGAACTATTACATTTCAAGTACGAAAGCTATAAAATGGCACATAATTTTTATTGAGCGATCAATAAAGGTTAGAACTAACAAGCAAAAAACCAGTAAGTTCAGCCGGGCCGAACTTTGAATACCCTCCACCATTTGGAACGAATTAGAAAATTTTCAAAAAATAAAATCCATTAAAAATTCTGTTAAAATCTTTAAAATATCTAATATCGGAAACCTATATAGATAATTCTCTTCCAAGGGATAAAGTACTCACAATGAACTCCTCGTGTGGAATTTCAATCAATTCCATTGAAAAATGTGGCTGAAATCATCAATATACCGAATATCGGGGGTACCGTTATATGGGGGGTTATACGATATCGTGGACCGATATGGCCCATTTTCGAACTTGACCTGTCTGCAGACAAAAGAGGGATCTGTGTAAAGTTTTAGCTTCCTATCTTAATTCTTTAGACTGTAGCGTGACAGGCGGACAGACGGACGGACATGGCTAAATCGTCTTAGTATTTTACGCTGATCAAGAATATATATACTTTGTTGGGTCTGAAATGATTATTTCGATGAGTTACAAACGGAATGACGAACTTAATATACCCTCCATACTATGTATGGTGGAGGGTATAAAAACATTGACCATGGCAAATCAATCTCAGTTCTTAACACATATACTCACCAAAGCCTCTCAAGAACACATGTTTAAATAAAACACTCTTATTTCTTAAGATTTCTCATTTTAAATTCAGTATATATATTTATGTATATATGTTTTCTTTCTTTTTTCTTATGTATTTTTTAAATCTTTTTTTTTATTTCTTAATGTTTTTTTTCTGTTGACAAAAGATAATAATTATTTATGTATATTTTATTTATTATATGTATATATACTTTTCTTTTTTGTTTTTGTTAATAGCTCGCTACAGATAATATGAAAAATTATTATTTTTTATTTATTGTTTGTTTTTTTTTAATTACAACATGATCTTTTATTATATATATATATATATATTTTGTTTTGTAATTATTAATAATTAAATTTAAAAACAAAGATTTTCTTTTTAAGTTTTCATTGTTAATTATGTATATACTGTGTTTCATTTGTTTTCTTTATTAAATTTATTATTTACGCTTTAACATTCTGATTATATGATTTCGTTTAACAATTTCCATTTACAATAGCCTAACTTAAGTTAAAACTGTATGATAATGGATATATAAAAAAGAATTCGAATTCAAGTTAGGAAGAAAATCTAATTTAATGACTAGAACTTAATGTGTTCAAATTCAGAATATGTTGTCATATTTTTATTATCTTGTGTAGCACATGAACTGAAAATACCCAACAACACTTTATGACTTTAATTGAGTTAAAAAAAAAACAACACGAGTTTGAGATTTCAGAAAATAGTCTTATAGCCAATCAGTATTTCCAGTAGAGTTAAATATCTAGGAGTAATGGGACTACATTCGAGAGGAATTAATATGTTCCAATGATTTTGATGTCAATGGTTTCAAAACGGAAATTGAATCTTAAAATTACACACTGTACATTCAAGAGCGTTGTTAGTCCAACACACGCAAATAATTTTGAATTCAGGTGAACAGTATTGGATAAAAATAAAAATATTCCGAAAATCTGATAGACCTATTGCATTAGAACCAATACCCTTAGCCAAAGTACTTGTCTTCTGCTCAACAGAATATGATCTGATATCTGATAAAAAAAAGAATTTTAGGTTATATCTTTGTAAAAGTCTAAATACCGTGGCTTTTTAACAAGCGGTTTTCAGTTTAGATATGTTTTGAGATTTGAATCACAAATTTGGAATACCTAACCGAGTGATATAATATCTAAACTAATCACTTATCGATTATAGAGTTTCCAACCTTCCAAATAAAAGCTTCGAATATTAAATTGTGTTTTTATACCCTCCACCATTCTATGAAGGGTATATTAACATTGTCAGTCCGTTTGTAAATAGATCGTAAATAGGCCGTGTCGGTCCACGTTTTCGTATAGCCCCTATATAACGATACCTCTCGATATTCGGTATTTTCATGATTTTAGCGGCATTATTCGCCGTAATTGTAACAAATTTCGTATTTGAACTTCGTAATAAGCACTACAGCCTATGACAAAAAATTTCGTATGCAGGTCCATGTCTTCGTACTGTCCCCACATAACGATTTTCATTTAAGTTGAAGTTTTCGAATTTTTTTTTTTTTTTTTTTTTTTTGTTTTTTTGAAAATTGTCAATTTCCTTCGAACTCATATGTTTTTTTTACTTGTTATAAACTCCATACGAATATTTCGAATATCAAACATGAAATATTGATAATTAAAATAAATTATTAAAAAACTGAGTATTTTTGCCCACTAAATAAATTTGCTTCAAAACATCAAATGATGATAAGAATTTACAACTAAAAATAGTATATGTTCAACCTAAATACGAATTCCGAAAATAGAATGGAATTCCTATCGTTTGTTTCGGATATCAAAAAAAAGTTTTGAAAATAAAATGGAAAAATTTCTTACCCAACTACGAATATTTCCAACATCAAATTGTTTATATTCTGAAATCCTAACAATTGCATGGAATATTTCCAATATATAATAGAATACATCGGGTATTAAGGAGTACGTTTTGAAACTCCAAATCAAACACAATAACAATGTATTTTTAAAAATTAAATGAGTAGTATTATTCAAGTGACTGTTTTGAATATAAATGGCTTAAAAATTTAAGCGAGTCTTTAAAACAACTAACAAAGTGTTTTAAAATATTTCGAAAATCAAAACGGAAGCTTCGATTATCAATCAGTTTTCAAACAGTAAACTAAATCTACGAATATCAAAACAGTGTTTTTGGGAACTCCAAACGAATAAACCGAATACTTACAAGGAATATTTCAAATACAAAACAATGTATTTTGCTCCCTAAATAAAGTTATCAAGCCACTAATTCGAAATTCGGAGACAGCAAACGAAAAAAACCAATTTTAGAAAGAACGTAGTATAACAGGAATAAAGAATACTTTAATAATGAAATAATATGCTTCTTAACGAACTGCGAATATTTCAGACTCGAAATGGTTTGTACTGAACATTCAGCGATTGCTTTGAACATTACATATAATATTTTGAAATTATTGTGAAATATTTCTGATTTCGAACAGTGTGTTTTGAAATTAGTTAAAATATACCCAACGTGTTTTTAAACATTAAATGAATACTTTAAGTATCAAAGTGATTGTTTTGAAAATCATGAACACATAATTCGAATAACATATCATATGTGCAAACG